TTACACCCTTGAGGTAAAGAGAAAGGGACCTGGAGTGAGACCTGGGCTGAGAGCACTCCCACACTAACAGAGTGAACTTGAGAACATGACGAATTCTTTCTGTCCCCACCAGTAAAACGTGGCTGAAATCAACCTCCGTGTTGTTGGGAGTAGTATGTGAGAAGGTACAAGTAGAACACACAGCATGTATGTGCCTGGTACACAATAAATACACAAGGTTCTTGTATCCTGGTTATTTTGTTCTTGCTTTTGGGGATTTTATTTTTCTTAGTAGAGTTAAGTAGTTGTGAGCAGAGAGAAATAGGTGAAGGGAGCCCATGAGTAGTGTGACCTCACCTGGTGTCTCCCTTTCTTCGTTTCTAAGACAGGGAGCTGGGATCAAGGGGATCTCTTAGGTGATTCATCCATTCACTCTCTTTGTTGGCTTCTTAGCTGATTAACAAACATTCTGTGATAATGAACACAGCTTTGTATGGGTTAGGCTACTTTCAAAAGGAATTTCAATATATTTAGTAGATTTATTGGTCTTTTCCAGTGAGCTGCTCAGCTGATCGATAAGTAGACCCTTTTCATTTCTTACTGTTATAGTGCATGTATAACTTTAGAAGTCCCAAAGTAAATTATTTATCAAGGGAGGCTTACTCCTAAAAATGTATTTAGGTGATTATTACCAATTGGTATGCATAAATGAATTCTATAATATGTCATTTAGCTAGTTAAGCTTGCTGAAATTATTATACACTATCTGTAGTAATTTGGTATGAATTGTAATCTCCTTTCACACACTGTGAGTTATGTATGCATATCTACTCCCAGGTACTAACTATGGCTCAGGATCTCTCATTATTTACCTGACTATATGAAATGTTTAGGTGCAGGTCTACGTGGGGAATTTGGGGGTTCCAAAAGCCACAATCCTAACAACTTTTCTGGTTTTTAAAAATATTGTACTGTTCTCACATAGGCATTCTCTAATCATTGAAAGTACTTCTATATAATCCTTCAGAAATTTTAGGAATTAACCTGTAGTCTTGCAAGGGGCAAATAATTCTAGGAGTATTTTTAGACGTTAGATGCTTTTCTATATTTAAGAAAAGTGTAATTTATATCTCACCTTAGAAGAACATAGGTCCACATTAAATTGGGATTCTTGGACGCATTCTTTAAAGAATCTTATTTATCAACATTAAAGGTGACAAAAAAGAGAACAGTAACTTGAAAAGCAATTTAATATGTCTCACACTAAAACATTTTTGTTTTCTATAGTTTGGAAGCCTTAAGAGTCCCAGTTCTACTTTGTTTAACTAAATAACCCATTCTGGAATTAGTCAAAATGAAATAAATTCAATTCAGTGGAACCCCCAGATTTTAACTATTCAAGTAGCTAAATCACGCTACTCAAGTAGTAGTGTGCCAGCACAGAAAAAAATACTATTATTTCATTTTTATCTTAACCACTTTGCTGAGGTATGATTAGCATGTAAAAAGCTGCATGTTACTAGTACATGCAACTTGGTAAGTTTGGAGATAAGAATATACCTGGGAAATCATCAGTACTATCAAAGCCATAAATGTACCCAACACCTCCAAAGTGTTCTACTGCCCCTTTATTTATTTATTCTTTTATTTTATAGCGTTCGTTATAAATATTTCTCTTATAAAGAGACTCTCAATGAAGGATTTTTAAAAGAAGCTTTTACTTAAGAAATTCCTCTGGTTGCTTCTTATACTCCAATGCCTTCTCTTCTGCCAGAATGCCCCTTGTATGGCACAAAAGTACACATAGGTGAAAATTTCTGTTAATAGATACCTGAAAGTTTTTGCCCTCTGCATGAGAGTTTCAGCAGAAAAGATCCATTTTTCACATTGTAAACTCCAGTCAAATTACAGTGATATCATGTACTTAGCTCAAATTGTCAACATTTACTCTGTGTTCTGGAATCGTTTTTTACTAGGTCAATCAAATCAACCTAGAAACAAATGCATAGGATTCCAACACTTCGGATTTCTGGCATATATACCTATGTATCTATGTATAGATACATAGATATCTATATAAAACTAGCTCTTTGGTATCTTTTGATGATGCAGTTTATTTTATTAAGCTGCTTTCATATTTTGCATGTTTTTTGCCCCATGTTTCAGCTAAATATATTTCAAATATACTTTAACAAAAGAACAGACAGTTTCTGAGGCTTTGAAACAGTGGGGTTTTCCAGATCCAAAAACATGGCAATAAATTGTCATCTCCTGGATAATCTTATTTATAAATCCAAAAGCATATGTTTGTATGATTACATGTGGGCATATTCATTTTGTGGTTATGCAACTTCAGCATTAACTTAAATTCCAGAATTAATCAGTAGTTTTCCCTTCTTTCCCACACAACATAGACTTTAGAATGCCATAACTCTAATTGTTACCTACAATTTATATGCTGTATTGTCCAGTGATTTAGTTCTGTCAGTTTCCACTGTGAATTAGATGTTATTTCATATTATATACACAATGCTTTTTTAGATTGACCTTATATTAATTAATATCTTAGTTTATCTTCCTACATTACAATCCAGTTCATTTCTTTGGATCATATAAGTTCTGCCTCCAATATTTACTTTAAAACTTACCTCGGCAAAGCCACCTAGAGGTAAACTCAGTTTTGGCAGTGTGAAATATCTATAATCTGCTCTCATTTTTAAAAGATAGTTTTGCTGAATATAGAATTCTAGACTGACACGTAATTTCTCTTGACACATTGAAGGTTTTGGATTCAGGTGTCTATTCTTGCTGTTGAGGAGTCAGTCTTTAGTCTAATGACTGTTTCTTTGTAAATGATCTTTCTTTATTTCCAGATACTTCTGAGGACTTCTGTCTCCCTTTAGTGTTCTGTAGGATGTGTCTAGAAGTGGGGTTTCTTTTTTATTTGTCCTGCTTAGGATTATTGAACTTTCTGCATCTTAGAATTGATATCTTTCTATAATTCTGAGAAATAGCCAGTATCTCTTCCGATATTTCCTCCTCCCCCATCATCTCTTTTATTTCTAGCTATAATTCTGATTATCTCCTCCAAGCTCCTTCATTTTTCTTTGATGCTTTCAAATCCTTTGTTTTTCTGGCTGTGTCTTCTTTATCTTCTTGATCTATTATCATTTTATCTAATATGTAATTTAACTTATCCATTTTAATTTTTATTGATTGCATTTCAATTTCTAGAAGTTCTGTTTGGTACTTTTTCAGATATATCTATATGTAGCTGTCGTTTTTTATCATTTCTTTCTCCTTACTCTTATACTCAATCATCTTGTTTATGCTTTTTTAACATATTAAACACAGTTGTTTTATAGCATGTATCTGATCATTTCAATCACTTTAAGTATCTTATTCTACTGCCTGTTATTTCTATTGGTTCTCACACTGCTTTATTTCCTCTATAATTTGTTATTTTATTGTTTTACTATGAAATACTTACTTCCCTATGAGAATTATTTTAGGCATGGATTGATGACACATTCTTCCATAGAGAATCTGTCTTTACTTCTGCCAGGGAACCATTATCCAGCCAGAACTGTTGAACATTAAACATTGCTAGGCAATTCTCAAACCACACTGGTAGTGTGAATATAGACAAGGCCTTCTATGGGGCCCTGTTTGTGTTTGTTTAAAAAAAATTAGAGGAGATTGAGGAGGGATAACATTAGGAGAAATACCTAATGTAGATGAATGGAGGGATGGATGCAACAAACCACCAAGACACGTGTATACCTATGTAACAAAGCTGCATGATCTGCACATGTATCCCAGAACTTAAAGTATAACAAAAATATATATGTATATAAAACAATCAGAGGGGAAATTTTTTCCTCATCTACCCAGAGTCAAGATTGAGGTAGGCAAGTTTTCTTGCCATTTTCTTCTGTACATCAGGCTTACTTAATTTTTTTCTTACACTTGAGGATGAGCCCTTTGAAGTACACCAGCCTTATATGGGGTCCCATATTAAACTCTTCCATAAACTCATTAAATTACCCCCTGTAACCACTACATCAGTTGCCCTAGATCTTCCAGGATTTAGGAAAGACACCCAAGGTCAAATCTTGCTTTGGTACTCCCTAACCTCCTGAGGTTCTTAACTGCTTCTTTGTTTAGGATTCTCAATAATTCTTTTTTTTCATGCCAGCTTAGAAACCTATTTTAAAGGACTATCTGTATTTGCCCAGGTTTTCAGCTGTTTCCAACTAGAAATTGATGTTTTTATATAATTAAATTGAGACACAAATGAGTATCTATGTATGTGGTTATATACATATTTCTTGAGGCATGTATTTATAGTATTTCATTTATATAGACATCATAACTTTATTTCCAGTTGCATCTAATAACACCTTGACACTTGCTGTACACTCAAATTTTCAACTATTCTACAAGAATAGTCGTCCTGCCTTTTGTTACTTGTCTTCTTTAAAAGATGAAGAAAGCATTACATTTGGTATGCAGTTATTAGAGATATAAATAAATGTAATTCACTATTACCTTATTTTAAAATTCTCATTACATCATGTAGAAGTGTAGGATCTTTCAAACCCTCTCAAAATAATAGAATCACAGAAATAATATGTGCATCTAGTTAATATAAAGGGATATTAAAAATATTAGAAGTATTTGAACTGCTGTACAAATGTAAAGGGTGGTAAAATATAAACATGATTTCCTTTGAGCAAAGAACTCAATCTGGGAAAAGTCATGCTTGCACAGCATTTTAGAAAATGTAATAATTTAAAAATGAATTGTCACATTTTCAAGAAAGCCTTTAAAAATAGTAAATCTTTTTGTCTAATGAAGGTTCTTTTGGTAATGCAAATGATCACCATTTAAAAAAAAATTTGGTTTTATATGAGACACTTTTGTCACGTAACTACACATATAATTGGAATCTACGTAAAGATAAGCAGCCTCAGCCAGTCCTGCCTTGTCTCCCTAATTGATGTCCTTTCTTCTTCTAGTATGTGCGAGTATCTTTTGATACAAAACCTGATCTCCTCTTACACCTGATGACCAAGGAATGGCAATTGGAGCTTCCCAAGCTTCTCATCTCTGTCCATGGGGGCCTGCAGAACTTTGAACTGCAGCCAAAACTCAAGCAAGTCTTTGGGAAAGGGCTCATCAAAGCAGCTATGACAACTGGAGCGTGGATATTCACTGGAGGAGTTAACACAGGTAATTGCAAGTGGGACAGAGAAAGGCAACATAGGCCATGGGAATGTTGTGCCTGAGATAATTTTCTGCTACGGTTAATTATCTCTACATCACCCCACTTCTTCCCTACCCATGGGTCCATAGTTGCTGGTTATCTCTCCCTCCTTTATCTAAATGAGAACTCTAAAGTTATTTCCTAACCAAGAAGAATTATTTACACATAAGAAACAGGTTGGGATATTTAATAGTTGACTATACAGAATTCATAAACATGACTAATGGAATTTCATAGGATATTTTTAAGTAGCTTAAGTTGCCAGTAATTCTTTAACGAATGACTTCTGCTTTAAATGGGAAGCTCTACCTTTGTCCTTTAAGCAATTTCAAGTTTGCTGCCAAAGAGCTTTAATTTTTGCAAAATGCTATTTCCATCTGGGACATAAATTATGATGGCAAAGTCTAAGGCATTGTGTGTTTACTGTTTAAAATATTGTATTAACTCCTCACTGTGCCAATAGAAGACATACCTCACTCTGAATTCCAAAGAATTTTTTCTTCCTGCCATTTATATTGTGATACAGAAACATTCTCAAATCAATTCTTACCAGCCCCTCTATAGTTAAGTGCTTATTTGCAGAACATTATTAATGTGCACTAGATAATGTAATGAATGCCTGTAAATGTTTTTGGCCTATTCTCCCAGCCTGAAGTCTGAGATGCCAATTGGAAATGCAGAGGTAATGTTGCAGTAAGTTAAGGCAAACTTGTTACAAGGCCCAAAGTCTGTACTTGTGGACACATTCGTTATTATGAAATATTCTAAACATAACTCTGGACCAATTAGTTTTAAACAACATGTTATCTTTGGCCAGGTGTGGTGGCTCATGCATACCTGTAATCCCAGGACTTTGGGAGGCTGAGGTGGGTGGATCACCTAAGGTCAGGAGTTCGAGACCAGGCTGACCAATATAGTAAAACACCATCTCTACTAAAAATGCAAAAATTAGCCGGGCATGGTAGAAGGCACCTGTAGTCTCAGCATCTGGGGAGGCTGAGGCAGGAGAATCGCTTGAACCCAGGAGGTGGAGGTTGCAGTGAGCCGAGATCATGCCACTCTCCAGCCTAGGCAACAAGAGCAAAACTCCATCTCAAAAGACAAAAATAACATGTTATCTTAATGTTGTTTAATTTTGTATCTGTAGTTTGGATGCTGTTTGAGTAAGACCCGCATTGAGAATTGCCTTAAACACCTAGAATTTGTGAATGTTCTGCACACAGCTACGTAAGGATGTTTCAGCAGTGAAGTCTGCAGATAGCTCATGTCAATGTAATTATGTGAAATTCTGGCTCAACCCATACACTGACATGTTCTTAGAATGACCTGCTCAGCTCTTTACTGTTTATCCTGTAGTAATTAAATATCTACAGAGCAATTTTTCTTTCAATGACTGTTCAGGTTTTGGGCTCCATATTTCCCTCTCAACTAAGGAGGGCTCACTTGCCTGTGATTACTGTCTTCTGCTTTCCTGTCATATAGAGACCAACTCAAAGGGTTCTACAGGTGCAAAAGAAAGTCTTGCCAATGCTCTATTTCTAAGAATTTGGCATATTGTTTTTATTCTTTTATGAAATGCATTCAATATCAAAAGAAGAATTTATAGCCTACATACTACAAACCCAAGAGCTTATCTCCGCCTCACTCCAGGCTTAGGGTTCAATCCAATACCTAAAGTGAAGTTCTAACAATGAAACGTTAAAGTTAGTAAGAGGTATTGATAGAATGTGCAGACCAGATGAGCATACCATAAAGTTAAACTTCTTGTCTAGGGCTGGCCCTGAAAGGAGTTTTGCATATCCATTGAAAATAATTTAATATTAATATTCATGGCTTTATTTGGGGGAGTTTTGTTGATTTTGGTTTTGGTTTGTTGTTGTTGTTTTTTTTCTTTTTACCAGTACTCTCACTCAGAAGATTCATAGATAAGGTAATAAGTGAAAATGATATTCTTTCCAACACTCCTGCATAGCTCAGTATGGATTAATGGCTATTTACACTGTTTTGTTATTTGCTTTTTAAACAGTGATTCCTTCTGTTTCATCTTATGAATATTTCAGTATTGAGTTACTTAAATACTTGTCTTTTCCCATGATTAAATTGCCTAGTGTGTTTCATGTGTTTAGTTGGTTTAGTGCACAGTGTCTGAGCCTTTCCTCTAGGCTAGCCCCTGAGGCGTAGGAAGATGAATAAAGCACTGACCCTCCAACATTCCTCTCAAAGAGTTTTACTGTTAGAAGAGACATCTTCACATATCATTGTGAATCACTGCAGAACATGTTAAGTGACATACTGAGCTATTCAAAATTGACAAACTGCCATATGCTCAAATGGAGAAGAAATCAAATCTAACTCAACATTCATATAGGAAACGGCACTAGGTATAAATTTTTTTCTGGAGATATGGGTGGAATTTTGATAAACAGAAACATTTTTTCTTAGATATATCTTATACGTCTTTCTTAGAGTATATATCTTATATATCTTTTCTTAGAGGATATACCTTATACCTCTAAAATGATCATTTGAGAGGGAGGTTAAAATAGTTAGACATTGCATCTTCTTTAAATGGTTTTTAAAAAGGTAAGAGTTATGCTGCCTACCATCTTGTAAACTGAACTTTCTCATCCTTGACTATGATGGGGAAGGTAATTTTGACAGAAGAGGAAAACAATTACAATGATGAAGATTAAAAGGTATATCTATATATTTTAACATAATTTCTCCACAGAGCAATCCAAGATTGTCTTTATGAGTAGGTTCTCATAAAGGTTAACAAAATCTCAAACTAAATAACTCATCTATCTGAATGACCTTAACTCATATACAAAATGTGGTGTAGATTTAATATACTACTATATATTGTGCTTTAAACATGACGCAGTCAAGCTGTTGGTTCCCAGTCATACTAACAACTTATTATAAGAAAAAGAGTTTGTTTTTAAAAATTGTATTTATTCTTTTTGTAAACATCGGATGCTTTTTATTTCTTCATATAAATCATCATCATAAATGCAATGCTAGAATTAATATACAAATCTGGCCAATGCATCTGGCGTTACAGCCTCAAGTTTATGTTTCCTCCTGAATAGAGGTAGTTTGTATAGAAATATGTCAAAATTTTATATTCAATTTATTTAACCTTGAGAGAAACCATTACCACAATCTGTTTTTTTATTTTTTTGAGACAGAGTCTCACTACGTTGCCCAGGCTAGAATGCAGTGCTCCAATCTCAGCTCACTGCAATCTCTGCCTCCTGGGTTCAAGTGATTCTCCTGCCTCAGCCTCCTAAGTAGCTGGGACACAGGTGCATGCCACCATGCCCAAATAATTTTTTGTGTTTTTACTAAAGACAGTGTTTCACCATGTCAGCAAGTATGTTCTCAATCTCCTGACCTCTTGATCCACCCACCTCGGCCTCCCAAAGTGCTGCGATTACAGGCATGAGCCACCACAACTGGACCACAATTTTCTTTAGAAAGATGGAATGGTAATTGCCTTAAAAGACAAAATTAATGCTTCTCTCTTTTCTTTTAGGTGTTATTCGTCATGTTGGAGACGCCTTGAAGGATCATGCATCTAAGTCTCGAGGAAAGATATGCACCATAGGTATTGCCCCTTGGGGAATTGTGGAAAACCAGGAAGATCTCATTGGAAGAGATGTAAGTCCTGAGTGTTAACCCTTTCCATGACTTCTTCTAGAGGGGATATCAGAAAAGTATAATAAAATTAGTATTCAAATGTACATATTATAGTAGTCTTTTAGTCCTCACTCCATAAAATGAAATGTATGTTAAGGAATGGTTTCTTGGGCAAATAGTTATTTTCTAAAATCTCTGTGCAAACTCCAGGTCAATTCTTATGATCAAGAAAAGTCCAAAGCAAAACTTATCAACTACCAGTTCTCTGCTTAAATCAAGCAGTGGTCTTTCTTCACCCATCAAATCCGGCAATTACTCTTGGTATAGTTATATTAAGATTCATTAACTTAATATGTGGCAACAGGAACTCATTGACTGTACACTGACCAGGGACTCTCTGCACTCCAGTATCTTTATTATTTGAGTATTTTTCACCTAGCTCCTGAGAGTTGCAGAGAAACATTCTTTTCATTTCAAAGTACTAAGACATCTATCTTATCCACAAAAAAATTTTTTTAATGGCTAAGAATTAACTTGCCTTAAACTATTTCTTCTATTATGATGCAATACGATGCAACCATCTTATTTTAATCCAACACAATATATGCAGTTTTTAAAAATGCAATGCAAAATACTCTAAATTAAAAAAAGTAAATGTCATCATAGGGCTCAACTGTCCTGCCCTTGGCATAATCTTCAAATGTGTTGTATGAGTTACCAATGGCAACGCAGGCATTTAAAAAAGGAGGTAGGGTTCATTTGACCCTGAGCAGAGATATTTCCCCAGGGGCTTGCTTTTCTCCTGAAAATTTACCTAAATGGGACAGACTGTGGTGCATTTGAGCAGCAGACACTTTCATCTCAGTTTTAAATAAAACATATGTTTCCAAAAATATTAAATCTCATGAAGCATAGCAGTAAACTCTTTGTTGCCTTAAAAAAATATCTTTATGGGGTCCAAGTGCAGGTGTCTTATGTATATATATTGCATAGCGATTAAATCTAGGTTGTTAGTATACCCTAGATTGGGTACACTAACACCTGAATAGTGAACATTGTACCCAACAGGTAATTTTTCAACCCTTGCCCCTCCCACCTTTTATAGCCTCCAATGTCCATATTCTACTCTGTATGTCCATATGTACCTAGTATTTAGCCCCCATTTACAAAGAAGAACATGTGGTATTTGACTTTGTTCCTGAGTTATTTTACTTAGGAAAATGGGCTTCAGTTCCATCCATGTTGCTACAAAGGACATGATTTCATGTTCGTTTATGATTGGGTAGTATTTATATATGTCCCACTACGTCCTCCATGGATGAACACTTAGGTGGATTCTGTATTTTTGCATTGTTGGTTGTGCTGCAAAAAACATGTGAGTGCAGGTGTCTTTTTTATATAATATATTGTTTTCCTTAACAACAGCAAAGAGAAAACCACTTTAAATCGTCTGGGCGCGGTGGCTCATGCCTGTAATCCTAGCACTGTGCGGTGGCTCACGCCTATAATCCTAGCACTTTGGGAGGCCGAGGTGGGTGGATCACGTGAGGTCAGGAGTTCAAGACCAGCCTGGCCATCATAGTGAAACCCCATCTTAAAAAAAAAAAAAAAACACTTTAAATCCTTTAGAGCCTGTATTTAAAGTGATAACAAGTGTCCATATCAATTATAGCAGATTACATGTGTAAATGCTAATTTATCCAGGACACATGGGATAAGGAATGAGATATTGGTTTTATGACTGTAATATTCTCATAATTAAAATGTATTTGCTATTTCCTATCACATAGAGATTGAATATCTCAGCAGTAATTTCCAAAGTTTTATATAGGCAAACCTGATTGGAAAAGTAAGTGTTACTAATTTCTTCAAAGTATCTGAGACTAGTCTTTCGTGTAATATACTTGGGGTAATACTTGCCTTAGATTCCAAATTGGCTTTTAAGTATGCTGATTTTGCACTAGAACATATATATGTCTTAAAGAATTAGAATACACCAAAATTCTTTCAACAGTGAAATCATTTAATAATGCATATTATTAACACATAAATTAATTATTTTAGATGTGTTCATTCAAAAGTCATTTTGAAATGTTCATAGCTTCAGGATCTCTATTGTAAACTCAAATTATTATTACTCAATTCGAAAGGGGGACACTATTTTGGAAGTTCCTCATTCAGGTGAATTATGAATAAATGGCAGTTGATTATTTCTTTATGCAAGATAGAGTAACTAATTCCCTTAGTTGCCTAAGCATTTGCGGAGAATGCTGGCCTACTAATTCCTTGTATTATTTTGTTTGTTCATCTTATACATTTTATAAGATTGCAGAAAGACAGTACTTCTGTTACATTTACTTACCTTGTTGAATTGGAAGAATCACTTCTGATTCTTTTACCTCCCATTCCAACTTTTTCTCTGACTTTACTTTCTCCTTTTGCTCCTCTTTTTCTTTCTTTCTTTGTTTCTCCTATTACTTCTTCCCATTTGTATTCCAATGGGACTTATTGACATTGGCTGCCTTTCCAACTGAAAATAGTCTTAAGCCTGGCACAGAGGGCAGAAAAATGCTCATTAAGTGTGTTCATCCATCATCCCTGTTCCTGGGAGATCTTATAAAGGCAAACCATGACTCACAGAGAACCAGGTGGACCATGCACGAGACTATCGCAAAAAGAAAATCAAAGTGGCAGGTTATAGAGAACACAGGAAAGACAGGTGTATTTTACTTTTTCAGTAAATCTTTCACTGGGTTGTATTGAATTTTGACCACTCTGTTACCTTCTTCCCTTAAAACTGGGGAACTAGAATATACCTAGGGTTTCTCAGGCTCTTGTGTGATAATAGAGTTTGTTTTTCAAGTTATAAATTATTTGGACTAAAAGTACTATTTTTGGCATGTAGGATTTATGACATAATTTGAGATAAATGTTTATGTGTGTTCACTATTCTAATGTGATAGCTAAAAGTTATATGATGCTTGGTTGCCATTAAAAGAGGTTCTTGAATAAAATGGTGGTGGTCACTAGTGAAGATTCCCCTCAAAATTGTCAAATTAGAAATATTCAGTAAGCTTCTTACACAGTTGCAACACTTTTCCCAGCTAGCTTAATGTACTGTCGTCTGTCCTTTTTCTTTCATTTTATATAATCAAAATCACATGTAATAAACATCACAAAAAGAAACCTTTTAGCATCAGACATCAGGTAGCAGAGAAAAAAATAAATGTATTATTAAAAGTCTTTACCACTTCAGAATCTTATCAAAATGCAGTCATTCAAAAAAAATAAAATAGCTGCATCTTTGGTCAAGTCTGTTTATATTCCAGAATAATATCGAAGAGGTACAATATAAATGTCAAGGGAAATCCAGGAAACCTATTGGAAATAAATATACATCCAAGGATAAAAGAAAGGCTCCATTTCCTATCCCTGATGTTTTATTGCAGTAAATTTATTTCCAAACTGATAGAAAATATAAATTATTTTATTTTTGTGGAGCTCGCTCTCATATGAGAAGAAGCTTCACTTTTAGAAGCTGAACATTCAAGTACTACTAGAATTATTTTATTTATTGATAGAAGTAGTAGGTGCAACAATTGCTGTTTATCTTAATCCCTTTAGGATGGCACTAGCAAGGCAAATACTAGTCCTAGAGATAAAGAAGAAAACTTACTTGTCCTTGGGTGTGCTTCTAGATATTCTGAAACATTCACTTCCCTTCCGGTCTCATCTCATAGCTGGAATTCAAGTTTACCTAAGTGCAGAGCATTTGTCGTTGGGTTCTTGGAATCCAACTTAGAACCTCACACTTAGTAGGTGCCAGTACATATTGAGGAAGATGAATTGGGCATGATGAAATTCAGGCTACAGGGAAAATAAATATTATGGAACAGATGATGGTAAATCTTACCTACTTCACAACTTTATCACAACTTCATCTCTAATCATATCCCCAAGATGCATCACATTATTGTGACTACAGTGGGGACATTTTTTAACCAAGCATCTGAATGTAAAACTGTTTTCTTATATAGCAACTCAAGGTGGAAGGTGGAAGGTGAGGAAATGGCCTGTTGGGTGTGGGGGCTAAACAGTGTGGGATGGAAACAGGACTTTCTTTAAAGCCTTTGAAAGATGTGTGATCTACCCAGCTGAGTGATAGCACTACCTTTGATGTTTTAAATTTAAATATTATCCACTCTGTTTCACCATGCCCTTCATTTCTCAATTAATAGATCAAACAGCAGACTTTGGGGAGGAATAAGCTATGAATACTGAGATGGTAATCATCTTCCCCCCTGCCACTTAGGCCTGAAAACATATACGGTCTCAGTTATTGAGGTTGACTCCACCTCTATGGTTTCTCCATATTATTTCTACCATCCCTTTTCTCTATTGCTTTCCATAATCCTACGCACCATCAAATTGAGCTCAAGGCTTACTTCACCCTTAATGTCATATCCCTGATTGTAATTCTCCCACAGCTGTCTTCTTCCCCAACTCTCTCAGCCTTTTCAAGTTGGTGTAACAAAATACCACAGGCCAGGGGGCTTATAAACAATAGAAATTTATTTTTCCACAATTCTGGAGGCTGGACAGCACATTCCTGCTGTGTCTTCACATGGTGGAAAGGGACAGGGATCCCTCTGAAGTCCGTTTTATAAGGCCTTAATTGCATTCATTGGGCTCCACAGGTCCCCTTTCCTGACAGTATCACATTGGAAATTTGGATTTCAACATATAAATTTGGGGAAGAAAGGGACATAAACATTCAGTCCATTGCACCAACTGAATTAAAAATTCCCCAAAATGAGGACTGAATTGTTTATTTCTTGTTAACCCTTAATGTCCTAATTTGTATGAACATGACACATTGACATGCCACTTAAACTCTATAAGATTTAGTTTCTGCATCTCTACAAAAATACTTCCTCTGCCTGTCTTCATACAACTTCTATGAGCATAATCACAATAATAGTAATTATAATTTATTGAGCTCTTATTTGACTCTGCTCTGTATTTGCATATATTAGCTTTAGAAAGTATGTCTTCTATCCCTTTTATAGTTGAGTAAACAATGATCAGAACCAAGATCCAACTGTCTCCAATGGCCATTTTCTTTATATATATGTGTGTGTGTGTGTGTGTGTGTGTGTGTGTGTGTGTGCGTGTGTGTGTGTGTGTGCGTGTGTGTGTGTGTGTATATACATATATACATATATATATTTTTATTGCATTTTAGATTCTAGGGTACATATGCAGAACACATAGGATTGTTTCATAGGTATATACATGGCAATGTGGTTTGCTGCCTCTATCCCCCCATCACCTATATCTGGCATTTCTCCCCATGTTATCCCTCCCCAACCTCTCTACTCACTGCTGTCCGTCCCCTATTCCCCCCCAACAGACCCCAGTGTGTGATGCTCCCCTCCCTGTGTCCATGTGTTCTCATTGTTCAATACCCAATGAGTGAGAACATACAGTGTTTGATTTTCTGTTCTTGTGTCATTTTGAGAATGATGGTTTCCAGATTCATCCATGTCCCTACAAAGGACACGAACTCATCGTTTTTTATGGCTGCATAGTATTCCATGGTATATATGTGCCACATTTTCCTTGTCCAGTCTATCATCGATGGCATTTGGGTTGGTTCCAGGTCTTTGCTATTATAAACAGTGCTACAGTGAACATATGTGTGCATATGTCTTTATAATAGAACGATTTATAATCCTTTGGATATATACCTGGTAATAGGATTTCTGGGTCAAATGGAATTTGTATTGCTAGGTCCTTGAGGAATCGCCACACTGTCTTCCACAATGGTTGGACTAATTTACACTCCCACCAACAGTGTAAAAGTGTTCCTATTTCTCCACATCCTCTCCAGCAGGTGTTGTCTCCAGATTTTTAAAGATCACCATTCTAACCCATGTGAGACGGTATCTCAATGTGGTTTTGATTTTCATTTCTCTAATGACCAGTGATGATGAGCATTTTTTCATATGTTTGTTGGCCTCATATATATCTTCTTTTGAAAAATGTCTGTTCATATCCTTCACCCACTTTTGAATGGGGTTATTTTGTATATGTCAAGTAAGATATGAGAAAATATTCAGTGAAAATATTCAGTTGAACAATGAGAACACATGGACACAGGGAGGGGAGCATCACACACTGGGGTCTTTTGGGGGGGACTAGAGGAGGGACAGCAGGGGGAGGGATAACATAGAGAGAAATGCCAGATATAGGTGATGGGGGGATGGAGGCAGCAAACCACATTGCCATGTATGTACCTATGAAACAATCCTGCATAATCTGCACATGTACCCCAGAACCTAAAGTGCAATTATATATATACATATATACATGTATATATAAATATACACACATACATATATGTATATATGTAGATAAATATGTACACATATATATGTAGATAAATATGTACACATATACATATATGTATGTGTGTATATACATGTATCATATACATATATATGTATATAGATAATTGCACTATATGTATACATATATATATATATATACAGTAATAGTCTGTCTTTATTGTTGGTTGAGGTATTGACACATATCTTGTGATGGTAAATTAAATTCAAAGATAGACTTGATTCATGACTGGAGCCCCTTTCTTTGTCCCTAGAGAATCTTGACCTGGCTAGTTGACTCTGAAAGTATGACCAGTATAAACTCAAGAAAGTGCTTCCAATGAAATATAATTTTCACATGACACACTTTAAATTTAGATTTCCTACTTTAGAAAACAATCTGACCAGATTTATGTCAGGTAATTGAACAGTTTCTGAAGCCTTGATCATTTGTCTTTTCTGAAATCTAGATTAACAAGACACATACCAATTTAAGATCCCAGACATAATCACAAGACAAAGCACTTTCCATTTTAACTTGAGGATGGAAATTGTGTTTGGGTAGATTTACAACACATCATCTTGTTTGGTTATTAAGTTATCTTCACATTCAATGATGTCTTCTATTTTCCCGAAACTATAGATTTATTTCTCCAAGTTTTATAGCCTGTAAGAGTTCTTATATTTAATTGGAAAGTGCTCTTTTGATGCCATCTTTATGTTTCAAGCCAGGAAACATCAAGTTCAATAATGCAATTGATTGCTAATTTAATATAGTTACCAAGTCAGTACATTTGTTACTTATTTCTCAGGCAAGCCAAATATGACTTCATATTATAAGCTCAGAAAACTTCACAGGAGTGGCCCTGGCACGGAGTTGATTGGATTTGCAAGATTAGATTTGGTAAGATGTATCTGGGGATGTGTGAGGAAAAGGTCGGAGACAAGGACACCTGCCCAAATTCGTTACAATTATACCAGACAGAGCCAATGCTTGCTGAGCCTGGATCACACTCAGGTTTGGGGCTAACTGCCTTAGTCACATGCACTTACATGGAAAATGTGGTTCTAGTGAGAACAATGATGAGTTTGGATCTGGGCATGTTGATTTTGACGTTCCTTTGAGATATCTATCCATATGAAAATATCTGGCAGGCCAGTGAGTATCTGAGATAGAAATTTAGAAGCAAGATCTGACTATACACTTAGATTTGGAAGATATCTCATACACATGGCAATTAAAATTGTGTTGGATGGGAGACTGTACAGATGAGGAAAAGGAGGGCTTACCCCTGGACCTCATGGTCTCCAGCTTTTAATGAACAAGCAGAGGGCAAGCACCCTGCAAAGGAAACCAAAGAAATATCTGAGAGGAAGAAGCAAAGTCAGAGGGAATTGTGCAAGCCAAAAGAAGAGGGCACTTCCGAAGGAGGGTGTGAAGTGCAATGCCAAGTTCTACCAAAAAGCTGAGGAAGGCAGAAACCTGGAAGTGCCCATCCATTTCATCAAGATGGATATCACTGGCATTACTGGTCAAAGCTGTTTCACAGGAATAGTGACAAGGCAGCACTTTTCAGTGGGCTCAGGAGGGAGAAATGGAGAAGCAGAGCTGGCAGAGACCTCAAAAAGTTTTTGGCTGTGAGGAGGAGAGATCCAGGTAGCCAAAGGGAGCCACAGTGTGAGGCATCTTTTTCTTTAAGATGGAGGAGACTGGAATTTGTTTCTGTGCCAGTGGTAGAAAGGGACATAGGGACAGAGAGGTGCTAAGTGATGTGTAACTCCTAGAAGGGCCTTGAGGCAGTGAGGCCCAGAGCTAAGGAGGAGAGATCAACTGCTGACACACTTGTCACTGAAGGAGAACTGGAGAGGGTACACATGCGGAGGACTGGTGTCAGGATGTTGACGGAGTTTTAGCCTGGAGGTTTATCATTTACACTGAAGTAGTGTGATACCCCAAACAACAACTATAATAGTATTGACAGAATTAAATGAGAGAGACTCATTTAATTCTCACAGTGGCATTCAGAAGTCATCATTTTTAGTATCACTATCATCCTCCCTCATTCTACTGAGACTAAAACTAAAAACAAGATTAAGTAACTTGTCCAGTGTTCTATAACTAGTAAAGGATGTTTCTGGGATTTAAACCTAGGCCACCTAGCTTCCCAGACCATATTCGTAGCCATTATCCTTTGCAATACTGCAAAGAAGAGACCAACACTACTTCTCTATAATAATAACAGGTCTTACTTGAGATCATATTTGCATTGTTCTCTGAGTTTTCTGTCTCAGTTAATCCTTACAATACTTCAGTGGAGTGATTATTAGTATTCTCCATGTACCTATGGAGACACTGAGACACAGAGGATAAATAACTTGCTTAAAGTCACCCAACTGGCAAGCATGTAGGAGCAGGAGTCGGGTCATCTGCCACATGGAGAAGGGATGGTATTCAGGTCAGAGGTGTGAGGAGAGTGAGTGGAGGATGTTAGTCACGCCAATGACCAGAGACCAAAACTGATCAGAGCCCAGGGAAGGATCATAGTACACTATTATGTTAGGTATCTATTGTTATGTTAAAAAATACCTCAGACGTAATGGCTTTATATTAGTCTATTCTTGAATTGCTATAAAAGGAATACCTGAGACGGGGTAGTCTATAAAGAAAAGAGGTTTATTTGGCTCAGGGTTCTGCAGGCTTAAGAGAAACATAATGCCTGCATCTGCCCATAGTGAGGGCTTCAGGAAGCTTCCACTCATGATAGAAGGCAAAGGGGGAGCCAGCACACCACATGGCGAGAGATGGAACAAGAGAAATGTCAGGCTCTTCTAAACGAAGAACTCTCACGCACACTAACAGAGCAAGAACTCCCTAATTACCGTGGGGAGGGCACTAAGTCATTCATGAAGGATTTACCCCCATGACCCAAATGCTTCCCATCTAGCCTCACTTCCAACATTGGGGATTACATTTCAACCTGAGATTTGGAGGAAACAAGCACTCAAATTATATCAGGCTTAAGCAACAAACACTGATTATCTCACAGTTTCTGAGGGTCAGGAATAGACAAGTGGCTTGTCTGAGTGGTTCTCACCTGACCTCTCTCTTGAGGTCACAGTCAAGATGGCAGTTGGGGCTGCATCATCTGAGGGTGTGGATCCAGCTGCAGTATCTTCCTCCAAGATGACTTATTCAGGAGTTCCTTGGCATGTGGACCTTTTTATAGGGCTGCTTTATCATCTTCACACATGCCACTGGCTTCCCCCAGAGTAAGTAGCCTGAGAGAGAGCTAAGAGAAACCCTTTTATGACCCAGTTTTGGAAGCCATACACCAGCACCTCTGTTTTATTCTGTCCCTTAGAAGTGAGTCACTGAATCCAACCTGGACTAAGGAAAGAGTTTCAAAGAATTGCTGGACATATTTTTAATCACCCCACTCCTACATGGTAATTTCTAAAGGATGTAACCTCTTTCAGAACTCAAGAACCTTTCCTGCTGCTAGTAGCTGAATAGTACAGGGTTCCCCTCAGGACTGTGCAAAGGGAGCAAGTCCATTTGTGTGAAAAGCATGAAATGAGAACTGTGCTGCTCTTTGTGGTGTGCAAGTTAAGGGACACATTTTCAAAGTGCTGCAGAAAGACATAATTGTTCCACCCATGGATTTTAGTGGGAGTCACACTGCTAATGTATCTGGGCACTCTTTGGAAATGAATCCCTGGGTTTGCTGGTCTTCTGTTTGAATTGCTGAGCTGAAAGGTATCATCTGGGTTTCAATAGGACCCCGCTCTATACCTGTACTTACAGCCAAGCTGCCTGAATGGAAAATAAGCAGCCTCGCTCGCAATCATGGCTCAGGCCTCGCTATGAGTGTGAGGACGTACCGAGCCTTTCTCTTTCTCATTTTACTCTCTCAGTTTCAGTCCCCATGTTCCTTTGTCTCAGACACACGGCTTCCTTCCCACTTCTCAGCAGTGTCCCATCTTCCCTCCCAGAAACGAGTGACTGATCCTAAGAGAATCTCCCCACTCCTTTTGTTTCTCTCTCCAAAGCTCAACCCCATTTTGCTGCCTGCTCGTGCTGTTCCTGACCTCTGTAAACATACAGTTCTAGGTGACTCATCTGGAAATAATCTGATGAGCTGTCAGAAGGCCTTTCATGCCCAGCTGAGCCACCTGGGCATGTGGTAAAAATGTCCGGCAGCAAAACCACCCCTAATATTCTCTATAAATTTAAAATTAGACTGGGACCTCTGGCTTTCCTCTTAAACTCAACATGGGATTGAGAGAAAATAGTGGGATATGGGGCAAATTTGACCAAGACACCTCACCTGTCTGAGCCCCTGTAGTTCCTTCCACCTACAAAGTAAGCTGAAATTGGTTAATTCTTCAGAAATTGTCTATCACAGTGCCTGGCATGCAATAAGTGATCGATCAATAAATGCTAACATTTTTCAGTCTAAATTAAAATCATGATACTATTAGGAAGGAAAGAATGAATGTTTGGGCCACACATCCCCTACCCTGCCGCTTGCCTGGAGCATGTCGGTATACAACTCAGTAGGTAATGAGGTTTGGGATTGCAGAGGCCTGTGATTGATGGCACAAAAACCTGATTTAGTCCAATTCAATTCTGTTTGGAAAAGTAGTCCCAGGTCATCACACTGCACTCACATTGTAGAAAGCACCATAAAATAGAAGAGATTCCAGGACATGAGAGAGACTTTTCTCTCTGGACCCAACACACATTGAAGGTCACTGTTGTGTGTTAACTTGAGAGGAACAAAAGCGCTTTTTAACACAGGCTGTTCAGACTCAATTTTAGAGGTAGGAAACAGAAATTAGTCAAATCCTCTACTTTACAGATGAAAAAACTATTGTCTGAAAAGTTTCTTTCAATGAATCTGTTTTCAACACTTATTGTTAGATATTACCAACATGCATGATTGTGTATCTCTTCAAGCCAGCATAATATTTATCACACACTGTATTTCCTCAAGAAATACTTAATAAGTAAACAAATGAATGAATGAATTCACAGACTTGCCCCATGTTAGAAATTATTAACTGGAAGAACTAGAGCTAGAACACCCATCTCCTGACTTCCTGTTTACTACTTCTGAGTGAGACCAGAAACGCATAAAAATAGCTAGAAAAATTCAAGCAGGTTTCTTAGATTAGCTTCTGAATCACAGATTTAAGCCCATGCAGAAAACACAAATGAAGCACTCTGCCACCAGCTCATGGCTGAAGTCTGTTCCATAGTGTCTCTGAATCAGTCCCTTCCTGGGAATGATGATGTCCCTACTAATGCCTTCTATAAAAGGGCCTTTACCTCCATTAACCTCTTAAACAGCTCCCACTTCACTTCAGAGGGCCTCTTTGTTTGAAACTCAAAGCATACAGAGGCCTTGGAACCAGAAGTTTATCAGTCAGCCAGTATTAAAAGGTGTACAGTAGATTAATGAGGTAAGAATTCTCTCATTTACTCTTGAGAGATAAGAAAGAGAGCCAAATGCCATTACTTACAGGTATTCTGGCCCATGATGCTCAGAGAGTACTAAGTGTCTAAAATCAATTTCTAAGCAAATTTCTCTTCTAGATATACATATACAAAATTTTTTTGTGGATGCATAGTTGGTATATATATTTATGGGGTCCATAAGATGTTTTGATACAGATATCCACTGTGAAATAAGCACATCCTAGACAATGAAGTATCCATCCCCTCAAGCATTTATTCTTTGAGTTACAGATAGTCCAATCACATTCTTTAAGTTACTGTTGACTATAGTCACCCCATTGTGCTAGCAAATGGTAGGTCTTATTCATGCTATTGTTTTTCTACCCATCCTACTACTGTATTTACCAACTATAAAAACTCACCGTTTTTATAGTAAGGATGTGAAGCCCTTTCAGACACCATTCAGCCTTTCTCAATTCAGGTTTCTTATCTGAACTGCAAAACAGGAAATTGTTTGAGTAACTGTCCTCTCAGTTCTCCCAAAGATGTACATAACCTGGATCATCCTATGTTCTCAGGAAAAAAAATTCTCCATTATATGCAATGGATGCTGCCGACAGTAGGACTTAATTTCTCAGGAAAGCCTGGCTGAGAAACATGGTACAGTAATCCACTATCCCTACAAATTATGAACACATCACAATCGTTCACACACACACAATTCCAAAAAACGAGTCCTCTTTTACAGTCTCTTAACAATGGAAATGGTTGCATGACTTCCAAAATTTTTCAGAGGAAAAAATTCATTTGTATTCATGTTATTGAAGGACATTATTTTCTTAATTTGGAAAACCAACAGGAAGATCAGCAAATCTTCTGTAGTTATGTAAATTATAACTCAAACAAAATAAATTGCTGGTATGTTTGCTATGAAAAATGTTAAATCTGTAGGCAAGTTAGACCAAATTGTATTCCTTTGAGGTATCTGGGAAGATATTTCTAACTTTTCAGTTAATCAATGAATAATTCCAGACCGTCACCCTCTTAGATGCCTGGGAGGACATGGCAAAGAAAAAGCACCTTGCATATTTTGCCAACAGACTGCTGATTTTTTTTCTTTACTCACATTGATTTCTATGTCAAGCAAAACAAAAGTCACTGATTTGTCTCACATCATTTCATTTTGTTGACTAGTTTACAGTTGGAAAATCAGCTTATAGTTGGTAAAATAAAGCAGAGCAGAGAAGGAATTAACATTTATAGAATGCCTGCTATGAGCTTGGCATAGTGCCAGGTACTCTGCACATATAATCTCAACTAATCCCCAAGAGGTAAGTGGTTTTATCATTTCCCTTTTACAGATTAAAAAAGTGAGAATCAGATTCACACAGTCATTAGCAAAACAGAGATTCAAACAAATTTCCACAATTCATATATTCAAAATTATCCCAGAATTCAGCACATCTTTCTTCAGTGATGACTGAAAACTAAATTAGCACATTTTACTTATTTTTCAGTTTTTATCCTTTATTATTCAGCAGACAAACTCTCCGCAAAAATATGACCACATTTGACTTGCTTTCACGTAAGATCAAAAGAAATGGGGATCAGTGAGATGAAAAAAATTTAAATTCATGAGTGAAACTGTAAATTTGACCCTTTTGCCATGACCAATTCAGATGTGCAGTATTTCCAAAGAGCCGCTGAGCTGTGTTTCACAAGAAAAGAAGGTCAAAAGTCTGAAAACGGGAGCACCTATGTCCTTAGAATACAGATACTGTGCATAGAACATAGTTGAATTATTTAATTTTCTTCTTTTATTCTTAGATTGTGGGAAATACATCAGCTTGGCTGAGAATTATTTTCATTCTTTATTCATCTGAAAATTTCACTTTCACTGGTAGTACTTAAATAGGTTCATAGGAATTAAAAAACACAGGCTTATGTCTCAGCCAGCACAAATGTCTGGCGTTCACTATTACACACAGTTTAACCTCTAGAAAACCCACCGTCCCCTGCCTCTCACAGACTGATTGCATCTTGCCCTTCCTTCTCAAGGAGTCTTTCTTTGGGAACTGCTGTTAGAAAGAGAGAACTGTAACTAAAGCTTTTTCTTTTGTCTACAAGCACAAAGCAGAGGCACTTTAAGAACAGGAGAGTCTTTCTGCTGAGCCTCTTTCAATAAAGCATTAATATTTATTACTTTGCACTCTGCTGCAGAATGAATGTTTTATGATCAACCACAAGTAGCAACAAAATGGGAATTTTAACCACAAGCAACCTACTCTTCCAGTGATAAGGAGCTCAGGATGGGTTAGCAAACCACTGTCTCTGTGTTTGGGGGGACTCTTACACAATCATCTAAACAAAGGAGTAATTGATTGCTGCTCCATGCAATGACTAGAGACAATAATCAAAAAGTTATAGACTTCTTTTATCAATAAGAGCCAACTAAAATGAAGCTGTGAATTAACCTTATATTAATGCTGCATTAACAAATGCTACATTAATGCTACATTGACAGATAAACATTATATTAATACTACATTAAATTAATGCTACATTAACAAAAAATTTTATATGTTAATAGGACTGAAGGTTTTTTCAGAAGCTCAGAATTATGTACTCGTTTTACATTTAAATTAGATCAATTCTCAAACAATTCAGAAAAGAAAAGCTTTTCGAACAAAAGCATATCTGTCTGAAGTTGCCTATTCATTCATTCACTATTTATTGAGTACATTTTATTTGCCAGGCACATAGAAATGTGGCATTTTGAATCAGTATCAAGGTCTAAAAAAATGACTCACGTGAGTTCTTCACTATTGAAGACTGCCCTTATAAATCAATTTGTAATTCCTTTAACAAACTACTCAATCTTACTACGGCATTTTATAGTGAGTTGTTACATACTGAAAAGAACAAGAGCATCTCAACCCTATAATTAATGTACACACTGCACAAAGGCACAAAAATAAAAATTCAGTCGTATTTCTGTCCTGTCAATTTTTACGATTCAGTACAGTGAGAGCTGTACTGAGACCATGTAACAATTACCCTGTTGAATATTCTCTTTCTATAGTCTTGAGTGAAGTTCTTACCTACATATTTTAGGAGTAGATTTCCAACCCATCATATTACATTGAGTCTAATCAGTGTGGGAAAGGAAAATAAGCATAGATTTTGGATTCAGGCCGACCCGGGTATGAATTCTGATTGTGTGTATGGTAGACTCTCAGAAAACTTACTTTATCTCTCCATTCCTTGGTTTCTTCACCTACAGAATGAACACAGCAGCATCTACTTTGCAGGATCTTTGTAAGGAATGTAGATAATGTATATAAAGCAACTAGCTCACAGTAGGTATTACTGTTCTTTTTATACAAAAAAGTCAGAAAGACTACACTGAAATGGCGCTATTTCAAGTAGTGTAATTCACCATGAAATTAAAGTAACAACAAAAAAGGTAGAATGAGACAGAGTTGAACATTTGGGGCCTGATTCATATCTGTCTCATGAGACAATTATTTTATAGTCAAGATTTCCATCTAAATAAGTTATCTGGTAAGAACGATGTTGATTTTAAATAACAGACCTTCAAATTACTAAATGGGACTGACAGAAAAGATGGCATTTCTCCTACTTCCCTGCCACCATCTCCAGAATTATGAGTGTTCCATTGTGCCTGTTAAAGTGTGGACGTGACAGAGAAGGAAAAAAAACAAAATAACTAGATTTTAAAATTATTTTGGGATCACTAGCAGATAGAAGATTGATTTCAAAATGAAACAATCATGGGCATGCCAGTTTTTTTTTTTAGTACAATGAGTACCACCTCTATTTTCTGCATGATTTCAGTAATTAAATAAGTACACTTTTAAGCACAGTCTTGATTTCAGTTAAACTTTTACCATAAATCTTGCCTCTACTCAAAGCAATACTAAGAAGATGTAGATTATACTTTCACTGTACCACAGAACTGATGTTCTTTCTTTCTCTCTTTCCTCTAATTCTACTTTTCATATCTTGTGTTCTTTTTCTTTTTCTGACTTCTGCCTCTTCCATTGAATACCCTGCAGGTTGTCCGGCCATACCAGACCATGTCCAATCCCATGAGCAAGCTCACTGTTCTCAACAGCATGCATTCCCACTTCATTCTGGCTGACAATGGGACCACTGGAAAATATGGAGCAGAGGTGAAACTTCGGAGACAACTGGAAAAGCATATTTCACTCCAGAAGATAAACACAAGTAAGTAGCTGTTGTTCCCACTGGCATGCCTCGTAGGAAGTATGCTAAAAGTGAGTAACTTTAAGTACACCATGTAGCAATGTAATAAAAACTGGAGCAAGTTTTAAACACAAACCATTATTTCTACTGGGCCAGAGAGTAGAATGAGAGGAAGCCATCCAGAGAAGAACAATTAGAGGCCTAAGAAGTAATTAAAAAATTAGTGACTCCAGCTTATGTATCATGTGTGAAAAATTCAACTCCATCTGGGGTATATAAATGCAGATAAGCTCTCTCTTCAAACTTTTTCTTCATCATCTGCATGGTACTGTAAGGAGAAAAGGCACCCTAGAGGAAATGTTTCTATTTATTAAGCTTTTATTGGTGGCTAAACAGAAAAGCAGAAGAATCAGATTTTGATCTTAGCACCAATCTGGCTGTGCAAAGGCATTTCAAAGAAATTGAACATTCACTCTCTAAGCTAAAGCATCGTGTGAAACTATCTTCATGAAATTTTAATTGTCTCAATTTTAACTATGTATTCATTCTCTCTATATACATATGGATTTAGATATAGATAGATGTATACGTGAACCACACAGTACATAGTTACACTAGTATTATCTCTTAAGCACATAAGTATCTTTATTTAATGAATGTATTGGGTAGACAATTGTTTTAACTGTGAAAGGTATCATGATCAAAACAGTAATGCTCCCCAGATCACTAAGTAGCTTGCATTTAAATGTGATTTAGGTATGAAAACAATCTACTGCCCCACCTCACAAAATAAAATTCAATTTGTTTTTATAAAGTAACAGATGAGGCTGCATAGCAAGCTCAAACTTTGTGGTAATTAGATGTCCCATCTGGGAAACTATGAAATTTTAAAATTCTAAAGCCTACAATTCCAAAGAATGAAAGATTCCCTTTAGCTAGATGAGTTTGCAGAGGTTCCGTGTACTGTTGTTCAACTGGTCCAAATCACTTTTCTCTAGATTTCTCTGCACCTGCCCCAGATGGGTCTTCATTACCATAGCCACCTTCCTCCAAAAACTAGGATGTTAGACCTATCAGACCACAGCGTCTCCTTCCTACACTCAATTTTCTGGTTCCACCTTTTAGGAACTGCTAGTGTGTAAGCAGTCACGTTTTGTGGTTTCATATTTTTCACACTAAAATCTGGAATAATAAATTTTTGCCTAAGTCTGAAATAAAAATTATTTTAGGAAATTTCATTCCCCAACTATCTTTGGAAAGAAGAAACACAAGTATTATCCCAAGGTGAACATCGTCTGTAAACAAAAAGAGTAGAAGACTAGAAAATACACAGAGACCAGCAGAGATCAAATGTAACAAAGCACTGTGATCAGTGGATGGTAGGTTTCGCTGTAAATGCTAAAACTGAGTTCCATTACAGTACTTAATAGAATGGGCAAATGTTATATAATCAGTGTCATCTATTTAGGGTGTTATAAGCTACAGTATGACTTTTTTTTACACCATCAGGTTAAGAATGAGAGCTTAAATAGGACTAAGCTGGAAGCTGAAGAGGATGAGAGCAAGGAATAAATTCAGTGTCAAGTTCAGTACTCAGTAATGAGACAAAATTGGTCCAGACAGGCAAAGCATGTCATTGTGGCAGGCCTTGGTGGCAGCTGAACTGGTTAGCCAGTAGTGTTGTGGAGCAGACCTAGGCATATATTTGTGTAAGTTATGCACCCAGAAAAGAGAACAGAAGCTGGAGTTAAAACCCAGCCAGAGCCTAGGTTTTAGTCAAACCCTGTGCCTTCCAGAATGCCTAGAGGAAAGGGGTGCCTTTTTCTAATTGACCATTCCCAGAGGGAGCACCTTTTGCAGTGTACATGCCTGGAGAAGTACCATTACTTCAGAAATGGCAGAACTACTGCATGTACGGATGGCACTGCAGAGGAGCCCCAGGGAGGCTCATGGACAGTGGTCTGGTCTCCCTGAGGAGCAGAGGTCAGCAGCACAGAGCTGAAGAGCAGGCCATGGCAGATGGTCAGCATGTCAGGAATGCTGGAGGAGTTACTGCCAGACACCAGTACTTGGGTAGATCATCAGGGACACATCACATTCCATTTATGGAAACATCAGACCTTTGCTAGATTAGCAAGGCAGGTAGTGGCACATGGGCACATTGACAAGCAGGAACCCATCAGGAGTCTAGAGTACGAAGGAGGGGAGAGGCACAGATCCAGGTACCACAGGACTTACTTTTGAGACTGTATTTGTGGCTGCATAGAAGTGCGCAGCCTCCTCTTCCAGTGAATATATTAATAATTAAATGGTAATAGGAGAGTTATAGAAGCCCAAGAGAAATCCTGAAGTCATAGGAAGTGAAAAGGCCTAAGGTAAGGAATTTGTGCATGAGCTTAGCGAATGTCAAGAGTTAGCTCCTATGGCAGTCTACCCCTGAACTTACTAATGGTTGGGTGACCAACCTGTCCTGGTTTGCCTGGGACTTTGTTAGGTTTAGCAGGTAAAGTCCCAAATCCCAGGGCCCCCTCAGTCTAGATAAACTGAGATAATGGATCGCCCTACAAGTGAGTGACTCATAAGTCATTAGGTCAACTTCCCTCATTACTGTACTCAGCCTCCAAAGTGGGGCAGAGAGGCAAGCTCCTTAAAGGGTAGGGAGTGACTCAGGCTCTTTGAAGTAGATAAAGCAAGACCTTTGAGGTATTCATTCAGTTAGCAACAAAAAAATGTTCACTGAGAACACAAAGGCCTCCAGAATAGCACTGACAAACACACCAAGACAGGCAAAAAGTGGACCTAGTCTCAACATGAAAAATGGCAGAAGAATACAAGCCCTTAATACAATCCTCAGTCAGCAATTTGGAACAGCAAATCTACTTTCTAAACTGGACACTTTGTGGTTCTTCCTTTTAAAAATGAAACTTTATGGCTGGGCACTCATGCCTGTAATCCCAGCACTTTGGGAGGCTGAGGTGGGTGGATCACGAGGTCAGGAGTTCAAAACCAGCCTGGCCAACATGGTGAAACCCCGTCTTTACTAAAAATACAAAAATAAGCTCAGTGTGGTGGTGGGTACCTGTAATCCCAGCTGCTTGGGAAGCTGAGGCAGGAGAATTGTATGAACTGGGGAGGCAGAGTTTGCAGTGAGCCGAGATCATGCCATTGCACTCCAGCCTGGGCGACAGGCCTAGACTCCGTCTTAAAATAAAATTTTATTCTATAAGTTTATCTGAAAACTTCCATTTACTTTTTCATTTCCTGCTTCAGAAGTTTAGGAAATCTAAAATACAAATGTGGAACTCAATTTCCTGAAAAGGAAACACTATGCCACAATAACCGTGTCTACCACCCCTAACACGCAGGATGGCCCCAGGGGGTCTAAACCCCCTGAGCGTTTTACTCACTAAACTGCCATACCTCCTCATCACTTAGGGGTGACCTGCATACTGTAGTATCCTATCAACAAGCCTGTTTTCTTAAATGGTATAATCTTCTGAAGAATGTTTCCCTAACCATTAAGTGAATCCTGTTCCGAAGACTCATAAACACTTTTTCATCAGCATGACAATGATCACTGATAACATATTCCAGGCACCAGTGTTTGACCTTTTTCTCCCCACTCTGACTTCCATTGTCAGTCTTCCCCCATGCACTAATATAGCCAATGGTCAGGACTGAAGCGTCATCATTGGTTGTTTCTAAAAGAGAAGCCTCGGCCGGGCACGGTGGCTCAAGCCTGTAATCCCAGCACTTTGGGAGGCCGAGACGGGTGGATCACGAGGTTAAGAGATCGAGACCATTCTGGTCAACATGGTGAAACCCCGTCTCTACTAAAAATACAAAAAATTAGCTGGGCATGGTGGCGTGTGCCTGTAATCCCAGCTACTCGGGAGGCTGAGGCAGGAGAATTGCCTGAACCCAGGAGGCGGAGGTTGCGGTGAGCCGAGATCGCGCCATTGCACTCCAGCCTGGGTAACAAGAGCGAAACTCCGTCTCAAAAAAAAAAAAGAGAAGCCTTTCGGACATAAGTTTCACAATGCTCTTCCATCTACAATTTTTTAAACTTCAAATTTAATATGCAAGGAACAGTTTCAATCATTTCTTTAATAAATTAATACTTACTGAATTCCTACTAAATACCAGTCATGGTTAAGGTCTAGAAAAGCAGCAACGAACAATTCATTGAGCTTACGTCAAGGGGGCAACCAGAGTAATAAGTAAGAAAGCAACTAACTGCGTGGTGTCTGCTAGTTTTTAAAAAGCACTTTTGAGAAAACTGAGACAGAGTAAGGCATACATCTGTGCACCTGTGTGCATGCACATATGTGCATCATGTGTATTGGGAAGATAGTTTCTATTAGGTGATCAGGAATGGCCTCTATGTGGGGATACCATTCATGCAACAACCTGAATGAAGTGAGCCACCAGCTGTTAAAGAGCATTCTGTGGAGATTGAAAGCAGGAACTAAGCCACCAGGAGTTCAGTGAGGAGCAGGGAAAGCTTGGTAAAGAGTTGGAGCTTATTCTAACCAAGATTGGATCTGGGGCATTACAGGATCTCCCTTACGATTTAAAACATCCCTCTGCTATTGCGTGTAAAGATTAGACAGATAAAGAGCAAGATTAAAAACAAGGAAATGCCTTCGGGGGCTGTTACAATAAGCAGGTGAGAGATAACTGGTTTGAATAAGGATGGCAGCAGTAGAGGTCATAGAAAATGATAGGATTTTGTGTGGGGGGTGGGGGGCACTGCAGGGGAAGACCAGGGAGGCTCATGGACAGCAGCCTAGCCTCCATAAGGAGCAGAGTCCAGCAGTTTGGAGCTGAAGAGCAGGTATGGCAGATGGTCAGGATGCCAGAGATGCTGGAGAAGCCACCATCAGATGCTAGTTTTTGGGTACATTGTCAGGACACATCACATCCCATTCGTGAACATACCAAGCCTTTGCTAGATTATCAAGGCAGGTAGTGACACGTGGATACATGGACAAGCAAGGACCCAGTCAGGGAGAGGTCTG